CCCTCCCCATCCAGAGTTTTTGATGAAGGGCCTTATCCTGCCTGTTTAACCGACTCACTCTCCAGAGCAAGAAGAGGCGCTCTGGCTTCGGCGCTTCTTCCAGGAGGGCATCGAGACCGGCCTCCCGGTCGTTCCTTAAGGAGCAGGCAAGATCCGGACCAAAAAAGAGGGTAGGAGGGAGGGGAAACCCTGGTCAGCTGGAGGGGTCCCCCCCTTGTAGCCGGGGTTCAGTCCTAGGTAGCCGGCTCAACGTTCACTCAGCCTTCCATGCTTTTGAGGTTGGTAAAATGCACACCCACCTTGCTGGGGGGAGAGGAGACAATGTGTAGACTTCATAATTAAGGTGTAAACTGCCCAGAGAGGACGTTAAGTGCTATGGGGCAGCATACTGTATAAACAGCACAATTTGCGTTTTGCTTTTACTTGAAAGAGTCATGTATTTATACTTCTGTTTTTATTTTAGTTGTGGTGGTTTTCCCCTATAAAAGGCTTACCTGTAAGTTAACACTTTGGGCTCCATACTTGCATACTCGTGTGTAAGTATGTTTTCTCCGCTAATATAACAGCCTTTCCTATAGCTCCTGCCTCTGAAGTTATTTTTCTAAGGTAGTAATTAGTTGCAGTTACCTTGAGAGGAGTTGAGCGCTCCAAGACTGGAGGCATTGGAGAGAAAATGGGACCACCCTCTGTCAGAGCTGCGGTAATTCAGATTTCCTCTTTGAGCAGAGAGGGTTGGATTCGATGGCCTTAAGAGGTCACTTCCAACTCCACGATTCTATCATTCAACTCCCTGTAACAAACCTCTTCAGAGCCTCAAAAGTCACATTATGCTGTGCACACAAAACTTGGGGAAGGTAATGATTAACCTTGAATTTCAGACAGAAATTGGTTACCAAAGTCAGCTGCATCACTAGAAAAACTGGCCACTGGGCTGCTCGGAGCTGGAGGCACAGGATGGAACTGAAAATGAGGTCCAGCTTAGGAACAAATAAGGACAACACACACAGCAGAAGCATAAATAAACTTCCATCTTTTCAAGTACTGTAGATGGCAATAGCCTCTTCGCCCAATGCTCCTTTGCCAGTCCCCCAAACAAGTTCAGAACCTTGGAGAGCTCCTGTAAAGTGGGTGGATTCAGAGCAGCTTCGTAAAGGGAGCCATCAGTGGCTGCCACTGGTCTCCATTAGGCGTGTGATTTTCAGAGCTCTTGGACTACAAAGCCCATCATTGTCCATCCACACAAACCTCTACCTGCAGACACCTACAGGTCTCTCACCTGGAGAAGAAGCCAAGTTTGGAAGACCTGGCTTCCTGTGCAGATCACCTTCAAATCACAGATCCTGTCTTTGTCTACAGGCTGAGCCATAGCAATCCCAACGGGCTGCTTGGAGGCACTGGACAGAACTGAAAAGGAGGCCCAGCTTAGGAACAAGAAAAGGACAACACACACAGCAGAACCATAAATAAAGTTCCATCTTCGCAAGTAGATGGCACCCACCTCTTCACCCAGTGCTCCTTTGCCAGTCTCGGCCTTCCCGGAAAAACAGGGTGCCGCTCAACCCCCCTGGGCAGCCATTCTCTCTCAGGGGCCCCATGTTTCGCGTCTGCCTCCCCTACTTTTCCAAAATTTTCTGCCCCCTGCCACCAGGCTACGCTTGTTCTCCCTCGACCATGATGTGATGTATAAAAAGAGAGGCGAGACGGACAACCACAGAAAGATCTCTGTATTAAAAAGAGTCCGATATACATTATAATTATTGTACAAAATCATAGTGATTTACATTCACCTTTCAAAGGGAGAAGAGGAAGCAACCACACATGGGAAAGAGCAGGCACCGGGGGGGGGGATATGATCTTTTCATGGACTGTAACCCACCACCACTAAATGTCGAGAGGGTTGTGGAAGGCAACGGCTCCTGACGCTCACCCCCTCCTCAAAACACTTGACGTCAACTCTGATGCCATGAATTTTTGACTGACATATTTACACACCAAGTCTGTTCATGGGGATGAGCCTTGACTTGGTCTGCATGAATCTGTGGGTTCTAGATGCGCCAAAGACTAAAGGGAAATGGACGGAGTCCCCCTTTTTAGGTCTTCAGTCTTCTTTGCTTCATTTTACCAAACCGACCCTTCCATTGATCTTTCCCCAGAGATACAACCACCCTTTGCCAGTTGTGGATGGGTGTCTGTGTGTGTCCATGTGCAAAGATTCCTTTCCCCTCCACACACAGTGAAAACACACACACATGTGTGTGTGTGAGGTGACAGGCAAATGATCCTCATCAGCAGTAAAACCAATTAATTTCAAATTTTAAATAGGAAACAATCCCTTCTGTACAGCCTGTCTTAGAAAAGCTTGGTCCGTAGATGGACGCACAGAGCTTTTCCCTTCAGGGGGAAAGAAAGATAGGGAGACTCCCCCAGTGGCAGCTGCTAATGACTCCAGTTCCAGGGGTGCTGTGAATTCACATTTGGGTTTTCATCTGCCCATCACAAGAGCTTTCTAAGGTACAGATCCTGTCCCCCAAACAAGTTCAGCACCGTGGAGAGCTCCTGTAAAGGGAGCGGATTCACAGCACCTTCGAAAAGGGAGCCATCAGTGGCTGCCACTGGTCTCCATTAGGCGTGTGATTTTCAGAGCTCTTGGACTACAAAGCCCATCATTGTCCATCCACACAAACCTCTACCTGCAGACACCTACAGGTCTCTCACCTGGAGAAGAAGCCAAGTTTGGAAGACCTGGCTTCCTGTGCAGATCACCTTCAAATCACAGATCCTGTCTTTGTCTACAGGCTGAGCCATAGCAATCCCAACGGGCTGCTTGGAGGCACTGGACAGAACTGAAAAGGAGGCCCAGCTTAGGAACAAGAAAAGGACAACACACACAGCAGAACCATAAATAAAGTTCCATCTTCGCAAGTAGATGGCACCCACCTCTTCACCCAGTGCTCCTTTGCCAGTCTCGGCCTTCCCGGAAAAAGGGGTGCCGCTCAACCCCCCGACTTGTCAAGTCCTCTCTCCTATTTGGTTCACAGCCGTTTCCCACAACTCTTGTGTTGGGACACCTTGGAGCCTGCAGGCCTCCTCAACGTGGCCCGGGTGACCACCTGTAGAAAGAGCCACTCTTCCAGCTGGTGGCCCACTTGTCCCAAACTGGTAGCCCTCACAGTGGTCCTTCCTCCTCTCAGGTCTGGAAGTGAAGTTCTCACCTTTTCTTTCCCACACCACCCACTGCTTCTTCATGCTGTGCCTCAGCTCGCCTCTCATTGCTCAGGATCCAGTTGGCATTGGCCTAACGGTCTGCCTCCCTGGCTGAGATTAACTGATGAGGCGATGGTGTGGGTCTCGGTTATGTGCTTGGTGAGGCACCTGATTGCCCAACTGAGACACCCCACGTCTCCTCGTCAACTAGCTGCAATTAGCCACGTCAAGTCATGCAAATCCTTTCAGGGATCCCAAGTAGGATTCTGGTCATAGACCAACAGCTTCCTCAAAAGATCAGCAAGCAACTCCTGTATGAATCACAGTCACCCTGAGTTCCTTCCTGGATTCTCTTCACTGCGAGAAGTAGAAAGAGGAAACGCTGGTCTTAGAGATACACCCTCTTCCTTTCTTGAACTCTCTTGGTCAGCCTACTGGTTCTCAAGGGATCCCCCTCACATTCCCTCCTCACTCTTTGAGGAGAGAGAGTCTGGGATCCTCAAACCAGGGTGGGTTTGAGGATGCTCTGGCAGCCATCACAGAGGCTGGAGAAAGAAGACAGGGCTACAATCCGTCCGGAAGCAGGGCAACCCACCAAGAGACAGAGAGGGTGGCTCAGAGCTGTCGGATGACCGTGGACAGACACACAGACACGCACACATGCCATGCTCACAGAGTGTTGACAGTGGTGGCATCACCAGGTTTGACAACAAACCTTGTTTAAACAAGGATGGGGTTTAAGACACATAAACAACAATGAGTTTTGGGTTTTTTTGGGGGGGTTTGCTTCCCATGGCTTGAATTTACTGGGTTATTGACAGAGGGAGGTGTGTCAGTCATTCATCATCAGGTTACACCTTCAGTCCTGTCTTCCATCCATTTACAAATATCAGAGACAAAGAAGAGGCTTCAAAATAAATAAACAAAAACCACATATTACTAACTAGTAAGCGAAAATAAAAAGAAACATGTTGTGCTTTTTAAACAAGCAAAGAAGAGGCAATATATTCAGTCTCTCTTACACACCTCTGTATGGGAATACAGAGGCCAAGAGCAATTCATATTCATATACTCAGACTTAGTGGCATTTATCCTAGTCAAGACTACTCAGATCTTTTTTTTTTCTTTAAAGCACCAGAGTGTGATTAAAAGAGAAGTCACCAGGTAGCTGATCTTCCCCTCCGACAGGGGGATCAAGGCACCAACTGCCTTCCATTCACCTTGCTGTCCAGATCTGGTAGGAAACCTCCAGTTCCTTGTGACTTCTTGCATGCAGTTCGGAGGAGGCAGATCTGAAACCAGTAATAACGAGCACGCTTGTTATTATTCACTCACAGATATGGCCAAACAATGGCTCGGTTCAGTCTCACCAAGGGCTGTCAACAGTCAAGCAAACAAAACATTGCCTCTCGAAGGCTTTAGGGAGGAACCTATCTCACAAACAGAACACCCACCCATAGGTTACCCACCCAAAGTAGCGCTTCGGTCTCACACCGGCACTCCAAACCTTTAATGGTTTTGTATTGATTGGGTTTTTGTTGCTTCAACCACTCCTGTGAAACGATCCTCGAAATCGTAATCTGTTAAGAGAGTTGGTAAGTCTGATCAAGGCCGAAGGCCCTCATCGCAAAGCGATCAGGGTCAAGAGGTCCCCAGGGGAGAGGCGACGGGTTTCAAAAACGTTTGAAGGTTGTGGTCCAAATAGGCCCATAGGCACCTTTTTTGAAAGGACGTTCCATGGACACACACTCCATGAGAATCACCACACCAACACACACTGGCACGCAGCCGCAATCCTGGGGCTTAAGAAAATCGGCCAGCAGTTTGTCTGTTGCAGTCTCTGCCCAGATCAAAGCTTGAAACTGAGGTCCAGAGGCAGAGAAGAGAGTTCTAAATGGTTATGGCAAAGGTGGTCCTGTGGCTGTTTTCTCTTCCTGTCTGTTCAGCTATTTTACCTTAAGCAACAGGGAGGGGTCAAGTAATGGGAATCCAGACGACACCGGTGTGTGTGTGTCTTCTCTGCTTCAGTCTTGTGTGTTCCCTCCCACAAAAGCCCCTGATAACCAGGCGACTCGCAGATCTGTCTTTCGTTCTCAACCCAGCCACCCTGCCGGTCCTCTCCTTCCTCAGCCACCAGGGACCAGAAGTCCTTCTCCTTGGCAAGTCATGTCTTGCATTGGCTGCTGGCGCAATGAAAGAGGTGTCCAACCAGCTAACCTAAGGACAAACGGGGCATGGGGACTGAAGCGAAAGGACCTGGATCTTTCTTTGGGTAAGGGGGGGAGTGCATGGTCGGCAGGAACAGGGAGTGTGGCCACCTTCTACCACTTGAGAAACTCCCGTACCCGGCTCCATAATTTGGTGATCCAGAGATTGACCCCCAAGTCCGTCAGGTACTGGATCTCAGGGGTCAGCATTTTGCGGCACAGCTTCCGGTGCTTCTTGTGAATCTTCTTCTTCAGGTTGTAACCCAAGATGGACTTCTCGCCCAGCGGCTGCCAAGGTTGCATGGCAGACTCCTGGATGGCGTTGGCGTCCACAGGGCGTCCCCCGTCGATGCAGATGCTCCTCATCTTCTCATTCTCCTCGTGGAGCCTGGCCACGTCCTGGGCCATCCGCTCTCTCCCGTACATGTCCACTTTGTGCCAGAAGGTGGCATTGAAGTACCGGTAGAGTTTGGCATCTATGAGGTTCCAGGCGGTGGCTTTCTGGTAAAGCTCCTCGGTCAGTTTCGAGACGGTGGAGTCTTTCCGGGCGTTGAGCTTGAAGTAGAGGATGTCTTCTAGCTCCCAACAAAGCAAGTCCTTCAGAAGCACCAAGGATTCATCAAAGTACTCCAACAGCATGACCAGATGGAAGCGGTCATCAATCTCACGGATATACTGGTCAACCAGCGGGCTGTCGGCGTTCATGTTATTGTCGTAGCCCAGGTCAAAGAAAAGGAGGTTCAGGAGGTAGTGAGCGTTGAATCCGCTGGGGTCGTAATAATGCAAAGGGTCGCGCAGAAATTCAGCCAGCTTATCCTCGCCAGGCAACTTCCAGGTCAAGGGAATGGTGAGCCCAAAGTAGTGGAAAGAAGACTCAAAGAGGTAGGCAGGGTCCCTCAGCACGGTCACAAAGGTGGTGTCTGCTGGCAGAAGTTTGCGCACTTCCTCATAATTAAAGCGCATGTGGTTGCAAATGACGTTGAAGCACATGCCTGGCTGGTAGTCCTGCACTTGGCTTCGCTCGAAGAAGGACGGATAGTAAAAATCATTGCGTCCGTTGGGGAACGCGAACTTCAGGCGGTGCTTTTCCCCGAAGCGGAAAAGGATGTTGAGGATGGTGCTGCTTGCCGTCTTGTGAGTCTTCATGAACATAATGTCCAGCTTCGGGAGGCACTTCTGTCCAGGTGGATGATGACTCCCGTTTCCTGAAACCGGCAGCCGGGCCTGAGCGGGGTAAGAAGAGCAGGAATAGGGAATGGGAACCCTGGGGAAGAGAACGGTGAGGTTAGCAATCTTTCTTCAAACCCATAGAAAGACAATATTTAAAGCTAAAAACAGTGAGCATACTATAACTAAAAAGGATAAAAAAAAATCACAATAAAAAAAGGTAAACAAAAGCAATGCCAGAAACAGATTCAAAGCAACGGGGCACAAGAACTTAAAAAACCATCTCAGACAGCCAATCACTCAGGGAAACTCTGCCTGAAGAAAGAAGTCTTTATCCACTTCTGGAAGGACAGCCGGGGGGGGGCATGCTGGCCTCCAGTGTCAGGGAGTTCCAGAGTCTCTGGGAGCAGCCACAGAGAAGGGCCTCTCCTGTGTCCCCATCTGACACACCTGTGAAGGTGGAGGGACCGAGAGAAAGGCCCCTCCTGATGATCTTAATACTTGAGCAGGCTTGTCAAGGGAGATCCATTCCTTGAGAGAGCTTGGATTCAAGCCATTTAGGGCTTTATAAGTTAGAACGAGAATTATGAAATGTGTCCAGAAACAGATCAGCAGTCAGTGGAGCTGGGGAGGTTTTGATCCCTGTGACCAGCCCCAGTCAGCAACCTGCTGCTGTATTTTGAACCTACTGACATTTCTGGATAGTCAGCAACCTGCTGCTGTATTTTGAACCTGCTGAAGTTTCTGGATACATTTAAAAAAAATTAAAATTCCTTCCATACTTGTTTTGGCTACACACAGTTGGGCAAATATTCCAGATCTCCCCCTCGGTCTCCAGTCCTCCATCAGTTCTGCTGGAGGCAGGCCTTTGGTTTTTGGGGAGGGGAGAGAGTTTCAGCCTAGTATGAAGTTAAGTCAGGGACCCTACGTCTCCCGCGGAAATCCACTCAACCACCAAGGTCTGGAAATGGCACAAGAGACGGCAACCCAAATGAGCCTGGTGAGGAAAAGGCATACTTCATTTATCCTTCTCTGGCCCTGGTGTGAGGGGCTGAAACCACCCCCTCCAACACGGTGGGTGTCCCAGGAAACCCACTGCATCCCCCACAGTCCCGAGGCAGGGCGGTCCTCCGGCAGGCTGGGCTCACTCACTCGGTCATGCTGACTTGTAAGGGCGGCATGGCGTAGGAGTAGAGGAGAAGCATGAAGCTGGTCAGCAGAGTCCCCAGGACCAGCCCCTTACACATGGACCTCCAGTTCTTTCCTTTCTGGGGCATCGCCGTCACCTGGAAATGGAAGAGAAAAGGGGAGCGTTCTTAAACAGGACAAATAAGGAGCCTAGGAAACGGTGTCGTACCTAACAGGAACCATGATCCACCTGCTCCGGATTCCCTGCACAGGAAAGCGAGCGGGGTCCTCTCCCAGCATCGCCTGGAGGTGATGCTGAGGATGGTCCTGGGTCTTTCTCTGGACAACAGCTTGTCTTCTAGGACAGGTCAAGAAGCTGGAGAGAAGGAGGGCAGGGTGAGGTTAACGGAGCTCGACAGAAAGCTGAAACAACTTAGAATGATCAGCATAACCCACGAAATCCTCATGGCCCCCGGAAGAGATGGCGGTGGGGGTGCAACAATGATATTGTGCTGCATGGCTGCGAGGTCACCACCGTTCGAGGTCACGTAGGATTCCAAGGCTGCTTCTAACGGGCTTTGGGGGGGGCGTTGAGGCAGCTAGCATCCAGAATAAAGGGAGCGTTCCCCTTTCCGTGATCTGCTGTACTGCACAGACGAGGGAACCGAGCAGGTGGGGACGTGGCTGCCGAAGCCTGCAAGCCAGAGTTTCTGGTGCAAGGAATGAGTGACTTCACGTTTCGCAGCTAAGCATAGGCAGTGGCACACGCACCCTTGGGGGCTGTGTCAGGATTCTTGAAGAGCAGCATTCTCCCCCATCACCTCCCTAGGTGCCCCAGAATCTTTTACACAGGCGTGCCCCATAGAAATTCCTCCTGCAGGATTCTTGGGTGTCATCCCTACCCTCCCTTCTCTATGGTCTTGCAGGTGGGGGGCAGCACATGGTCTTCACACACAGAGAGAGACACAGAAAGACAGACACACACATCCTCCCCACCACCACCGCCTCTGTCCCCCTCCATTTGTGTAGCCACTTGCACCTTAGCAGTGAGCAAAGGAAAGGGATGAAAAAGCTATAGCACCTGCCCACGGTCCGCAGGCGTCCACAGGAACCCGGCCTCGGAGTCTTCCCCGGGGAGCTTGGTGGCCGGACAGAACAGCCGCCTGCTCTGCTGCGATTTTACTTTTGGAGGCTGCCAGAGCGCTTGAGCGGATGCGAGCAACTGCATTGCAGCTGCGCTGTCCTCGGGGTCAAGCCAAGGAGACATGCTTCCCAAGGCTCTGCATGAACCCTGGGAGAGAAGCAGGACTGGAGTGGGGGTGGAGGTGGAGGTCACGGCAGGCAGGCAGGCAGGCAGGCAGGCAAAATGCTTGGGGAGGGGGGGGAGGCTGTAAAAACATGACTCCCTGGCTGGCCCAGTGGAAGCCTCCTGTTCAGAGCTACCTGGGGTCCCCAGGTGTTCTCGGACTACAGCTCCCAGCAGCCTTCCACATCAGCTCCGCTGGCCAGGATTTCTGGGAAGTGTGGTCCCAGAACACCTGGGATCCGAAGGCCTTTTTCAGGTAGGAATTAGTGAGTTGTTTGTTGTGGCATCTGTGATTAATTCCGATACGGTCTGAGCCAGATCAGAAGATGAACTTTTGGCAAAAACTGAAGGACACTGCAGCTAGTTTGGGTTTTAATTTACAGAGTGAAAGAGAGGTGGCTCACGTATAGTTTTAGAAACCAAGTTGGAGACTTGTAGCGATTTTTACTATAGTCATGCCAACTCTTTCTAATTTTTACCGACTCTGATAAAGCCTCTACAGATGGAGGACTGATAGGTCAAGAGGGCTTCTCCTGGGACATCTAACCAGCTGTGTGGCAAGGGGGATTTTCCTCCCACAGTTGACATCGTTCTTGAACAAAGTCCATGGAGACCATCAAACTGAGAGAAAAAGTCAGAGGACCTATAAAGGGTTTGCTTATTTAGACAAAAACCTATGAAGAGGAACAAAGCAGACAAGAAGGTAAGGAAGAAAATGCAGTTTTAGAAGAGGTCGCCGTGTTGGTCTGTACAAACACACCAGGCAAAATCCAAAGGGGGAAAAAACTCAAAATAAAACAAGACAAAAACAGGCATCAGGCAAAATCCAAAGGGGAAAAAAAACCCCGAAATAAAACAGGCGGCACCTTGAAGACTATTATATTTTAACGTGAGCTTTCGTGGATCAAGTCTACTTCTTCAGACATACAGAATGAAAAGACATACAGAGTGAAATGGAGAATGCACAAGTAAAACATTCAAAGCATTCACCAGCTTTCAGAGTCTTGGGCGTGCGGTTACATCTCTCATGCAGTCATAAGCCTATGTTTGGGGTAAGTTCTACTGTATACGTTCCTACAGGAGACAGAAAATACATGAGGTGGGGGGGGCTGATGGAGACAGACTGCAAATGTGCATTTGGGCAGCGGGTGTGTGTGTGTGTGCACGCCTAAAGCCATATAACTCAAGAACATTCTGTCCACTGCGTAGTTCTGATGCAACACCTACACATGTGAGCCACAGAGACTGCAAAGAAAAATGCCAGTGGAGGGAAGTATGTTCTCCAAGACAGCAAAGCCAGCCTGGTTGGCTAGGGGATTCTGGTGATTGTAGTCCAAAAATTAACATTTCTATTCTCTGGCTAAGAAGACAGGCTTGGACAGAGCACTTTAAGCAAGGAGCTTGTGGCTTATGCCATTAAGCAATAATACCACCCACTTGGCAGAGATCCTTCCCTTTGCAACCCTGGAATGCTCGAGACAGGATGATGGGCTTGAATGCAGGAGATCCAGTCCCTAGTCTAGCAATTAAAAGACCCATTCTTCAAACACATACCAGCTTGCTCCCCCCCAATGACATTTTAAAACATCCACATTATCCGGGAAAAAAATCTAAAGAAAACAATGCACTTTCTAAATGTGGCCCATTGAAAATAAAATTAAAAGGCAAATTTGCAACAGACAACATCCATTAGCGTCATACACCTGTGCAGCTCATGAACCAGATACAACCCTCTTGGTGGGGAACAGAGTTTTTCATTTGCTCTGTTGTCACATTTTTCTCTCTCATTCTCAGTGGGAACAAGAGAGAAAAGACCTCTTTGTTACTTATTTCACTTTCTCCGGCTGGAATAGGATCTCGCAAGACAAACCAAGGCAAACGCACCCACCGGCAGAGTCTTCCAAGCAAGACAGAAAAGGTCAGATCATGTATTTCTAGAATGTCTGTGGAAAAATACCAAGCCATGCGCACACCTAAGATGCTGGCAAATCCATAAAGCTCTCTGCTCCGCAACACAAAAGAGCAAAGGGAGCAGATTTCAGGAGCTAATTCTGGGTCCGTTTTAAGGGTGCAAACCACAAAAATACTCAGCAGCACCCTAAAAGTGGGCGGAAATTTTTAAGGGCATTGGCTGCATTCTGTGGACCAGAGATCCCCTCATCAGTCGGTACTACCGGTCGCCACAATGCGGTTCCAAACTCCACTTCTGAATGGCCATTTTCCATATTTTTCCATGTGAAAAAGTGGTGGCGTCTTATACATGGGGGTGTCTTATACATGGAAAAATACGGTGTTTTTCAGGGCAGAGCTATCAGATTTCATTTCCACTGAGCGCGAAGGGAATTGATGCTATTTTGTTAACACTTCACAAACCCACTGGGGAGCCCTTGGAGTCTGGGCAAACAGGCTCCCTTTCCACAGCAGTTGCTTGAGAAATTATCTTGGGATAAGAATAGAGAGGCTAATAGGAATTCCCATTCATCTTCAGTTTTGCTAGACATCTTGGTGGCCTTTTTATTCCTCAGACACCAAGTTTTGCCCAAACATGCCTTAATGTCTCTGCTCCTGTTTCTTGAACCCTCGGTTGTCACTGCAGGACCTGTTTTATGTCTACCATTCCTTTGCTGCTCTTCTTTAGTTGCTCGTTTCATTGTGATGCATGCCGGGAACAGCACATTCGGAGACAGAAAAGCATTCAAAACACAAATTGTCTGAATTTTTCTATCGTACACAGAATGCACAGATGCCGGGGTGTGTGCGTAGAGTTTTTCCGCTGACGGTCTGGGAAAGGTGGACCCACGAGGTGGGCTGAGCACGTAATACAGCTGAGGTTCTCATCTCGATGAATAATGCATGAACATTGTAAATTGATCCTAACTCGGTAACAAGACTCCTTTCTCCTTCTTGTCACTCAGCATGGCAGGCTAATGTCTCACGTTGACCTTTCCCGGAGGGGAGCTGGCCCACCAAAAGAGCCAGCAACCCGAAGACGGGTTGGAGGTAAGGGAGGTATCCAGTGTGAGACACGCCTGGCGGAAGGGCGACCACGTGAGGCTCTGAGGCACCTCTTGCTCTAGATGGTCTTCTCTTGTCCTAAGCTTGGCATCCATCTTATCCTACCGGAAAGGAAGTAAAATCTTAGCCTTCAAGCTCTGTCCATCCTGAGGGTAAGCGCTGAAGCCGCTGGTCTTCTCCTCGTATAAAGCAGACTTTGCCCAGGCAACTGCAGCAAGCTAACTTCCTTATTGCTCCGTGTGTGCCTCAACGAAAGGGGTGAGGTTCGCAGTAACTCTGAATCCCAAGGCTTAAGGCAGAAATGGTTGCTTTCGGGTTACTGGGAGGCAACAACGCCAGCCACCCACAGCAAGCTTGGCTCTGACATATTCCCCCCGCCCATAAAAAACCCCAGTGGTACACAAAATAGTCCCAAAGTGAAAGCAAACAAGAGGAAGACCGAAGGCAAGATGGACAGACTCCCTAAAGCGGTCATTGCCCCACCTGCGATCCCCAGAAGTTCTTAGACTGAAACTTCCAGGTGCCTTCACCACGAGCTATGCTGGCTGGAGATTTTGGGAGTTGTAGTCCATGAATGTCTGGGGACCCAAGGTTGGCAGCCACTGCCCTAAAAAGAAGCCACAGGCTTCAGTTTATAAGTGCTGAACGGAAGAGATGAGGAGAGGACATGTTCGAAAGCGCTCGTTCATAGGGTCGGCATACGTCGGAAGTGACTCGACACCCCTAACAAGTCTAATTCAAAAACGCCTTAATAAACCGTACAGATGTCCTCCATAAATGTATTCAAGCAGAATGTACGAATAATGAAAACACCACCCCACCCGACAGAGGTGACCCCTTTAAGGAGAGTGGGATGCTGTCCAGAGCAGGAGGAATGCCACCTCCGAGCCTCACCGGGCTCCCTACCCTGAATAAGTATGGGACTTAACTCCTCTTTCTTCACCCATCGTGAGTTCCAGGCAACTGTTGGAGGGCTCTCGACAAACCCACCACCTCGCCAGCGTCCAGCGAGAAGGAGGAACGGGCCCAAGTCTCATTGACAGAGCTATATATCCATGCCCTCTAAATGACCCTTCCCCTCTGCCTGTTCCATGTGGATGCTATGGGACTAAACTCCCCAGTACCTTCAAATCTCCCGGCGAACCCCGGCACTGAGATGGGGTAGCCGTAACGGCGACCGGATGCCAGCTTCCCACCCAGAGCCTTGTCCTGCTCACTTAAGAGCCACCGCAGGTCACGGAACCCAGCGTTCGAGAAGAGCTCCCGCTTCCCATCTTGGGAGGGATGCCCACGTTCCCGATGTGGCCTGGTGGAGATGTGACGAAACGGGACAGGCGAGGCCTCGGCCCTTGCTGGGTCCCTCTCTCCAACAGCCTCTGGATCTGGAACCACTTGGTCAGCACCTTCCGCTGACGGCTCTCGGACAAGCTGTAAATGGCAGGGCGCCTCGTAGGCCACGGGCTCTGCAGGCCATAAGCGGGAATCTGAAAGACCAGAGCGGTCACCTCCTCACAGGTAGGGTTCAT